CCCATAGTACAAACCCAAGGCTGTTCCTTCAGAACACATGCTTTACCTCCTCCCTGATCTTATCATAGCTGTGTCACCTTGGAACCCACCTTAAATGCCCTTTTAAATATGGCTCCCTTCATGAGCACGATTATTTTGAGAATCACCTATGTGTTGCAGATATCAATCATTTACTTTAACTCCTGAATAGTATTCCATTTTATACCATAATTTTTTCACCCATTCATCTGTTGATGGATGTTTGGGTTGTTTACAATTTTTTACTACTACAAATAAAGATGCTCTGAACATTCATATACAAGGCTTTGTACAAACATTTCATTTCTCTTGGGTAACTACCTATGAATGAAATGACTTGGTCATATGGTACACAGATGTTTAACTTTTTAAAGAACAGCCATACTCTTTTTCAAAATAGTTTTACCATTTTCATTCCCACCTGCACTGAATGAGATTCTGGTTGATCTTCACCCTCAACAATGCTTATTATGTCTTTCTTTTTATTTCAGCCTTTCTAATAGGTATATAGTGAGAATTCATTGTGGCTTAATTTGCATTTTCCAGATGACTAACAAGGTTGAATACTGAGCATATTTTTGTGTGTTTATTTCCCATCTGTATCACTTCTTTGGTGAAGCAGCAATTCAAATCTTTTCCCACTTTTTATTGAGTTGGTTTTCTTATGATTGACGTATTTTTGTTTGTTTATTTTGTTTTGTTTTATTTTGGTATCATTAATATACAATCACATGAGCAACAAAGTGGTTACCTTATGATTGAGTTTTAAGAGCATTTTCGATATTCTGAATAGAAGTCTTTTATCAGTTGTGTAATTTTCAAATATTATTCTTCCAGTTTTTGGCTTATCTTTTCATTTCATTAATAGTGTCTTTCAAAAAGGAGAAGTTAACTTTGATGAAGTCCAACTGATTGTGCTTGAGTGTTTTTTCTGAGAAATTTTTTCCTAACACAAGGATACAAATATTTTCTCCTATGTCTGTTCTAATTGCTTGATAATTTTTTATTTTAAATTTAGTCTGTGGTCTCTTTTGAGTTCATTTTTTATGGTATCAGGTATGGATCAAAATTCACTTTTCTGCATATGAATATATAACTGTTCCAGCACTAATTGAAAATATTATACTTTCTCCAATAAATTTTCTTAGAAAAAGGGATAGAAAGTGTCTTCGTAGGAATAACTGCTGAAAACTTCCCCAAACTGGGGGAGGAAATAGTCTCTCAGATCATGTAGGCCCACAGAACTCTCAACACAAGGGACCCAAGGAGGACAACACCAAGACATATAATAATTAAAATGGCAAAGATTAAAGACAAGGACAGAGTATTAAAGGCAGCCAGAGAGAGAAAAAAGGTCACATACAAAGGAAAACCCATTAGGCTATCATCAGACTTCTCACCAGAAACCTTACAGTCCAGAAGAGAATGGCATGATATATTTAATGCAATGAAACAGAAGGGCCTTGAGCCAAGAATACTGTATCCAGCACAATTATCATTTAAATATGAAGGAGGGATTAAACAATTTCCAGACAAGCAAAAGTTGAGGTAATTTGCCTCCCACAAACCACCTCTACAGGGTATTTTAGAGGGACTGCTCTAGATGGGAGCGCTCCTAAGGCTAAATAGATGTCACCAGAGAAAATAAAATTACAGCAAAGAAAGCAGACCAACCAAATACTAACTAAAGGCAACAAATAAATCAAGTACTCACAATAAATTTTCTTGCAGCAGCATCAAAAATGAATTGACCATACTTGTGAAAGTCTGTTTCTGGACTCTTTTGTGTTCCACTGACTTGTTTCTCTCTCTTAATACCAACCCCACATTGTCTTGATTAATGTCATTCTGTAAGTCTTAGAGTCAAGTAGTGTAACTCCTCCAACTTTGTTCTTCTTTTACAAAATGATTTTAGTATATTCCAGGCTTTTGCATTTTTATATGATGTTAGAATAAGCTTGTCAATTTCTACAGAAAAAAGTATTTTTGGATTTTGATTGGAATTGCATTTAATCTACAGATGAATTTGGAGAGAAATGACACGTTAACAATATCAAATCTTCCAATCCATGAACACTGTATATCTCTCCATCTGTTTAGGTCCTCTAATTCCTATCCATAATTTTCAGTGTATATGTCTTGCACATCTTTCATCAGATTTTACTCTTATGTATTTCATATTTCTAATGCTATTGTAAATGGTTTTGCTTTTGTTCATTTTGGTTTCCTACTTGTTATAAGCATAAAATGCACAGCAGATTTTGGAGATTAGTGCCCAAAACAGTAAAATATCTCCTTATTCATTTGTATATGAATATCATGTTAAAGTGATAGATTGAACTGAATATATTATTAAAAGTAATTTCATCTCTTCGTTTTTTTTTATTAAGGTATCATTGATTTCCACTCTTATGAAGGTTTCACATGAAAAACAATGTGGTTACTACATTCACCCATATTATCGAGTCCCCCCCCATACCCCATTGCAGTCACTGTCCATCAGTGTAGTAAGATGCCACAGAGTCACTACTTGTCTTCTCTGTGCTACACTGTCTTCCCCATGATCCCCCACACCATGTGTGCCAATCATAATGCCCCTCAATCTCCTTCTCCTTCCCTCCCCACCCACACTCCCACACCCCTTCCCTTTGGTAACCGCTAGTCCCTTCTTGGAGTCTGTGAGTCTGCTGCTGTTTTGTTCCTTCAGTTTAGCTTTGTTGCTACTCCACAAATGAGGGTAATCATTTGGTATTTGTCTTTCTCTGCCTGCCTTATTTCATTGAGCATAATACCCTCTAGCTCCATCCATGTTGTTGCAAGTGGTAGGATTTGTTTCTTTCTTATGGCTGAATAGTATTCCACTGTGTATATGTACCACCTCTTCTTTATCCATTCATCTACTGATGGACACTTAGGTTGCTTCCGTATCTTGGCTATTGTAAATAGAGCTGCAATAAACATAGGGGTGCATATGTCTTTTTGAATATGAGAAATTGTTTTCTTTGGGTCAATTCCTAGGAATGGAATTCCCAGGTCAAATGGTATTTCTATTCTTAGTTTTTTGAGGAATCTCCATATTGCTTTCCACAATGATTGAACTAGCTTACATTCCCACCAGCAGTGTAAGAGGGTTCCCCTTTCTCTGCATCCTCACCAGCATTTGTTGTTCCTAGTCTTTTTGACATTGGCCATCCTAACTAGTGTGAGGTGATACCTCATTGTGGTTTTAATTTGCATTTCCCTGATAATTAACAATGTGGAGCAGCATCTTTTCATGTGCCATCTGAATTTCGTCTTTTGAATAGTGTCTGTTCATATCCTCCACACATTTTTTATTCAGGTTATTTGCATTTGGGGTGTTGAGGTGTGTGAGTTCTTTATATATTTTGGATGTTAACCTCTTGTCAGATATGTCATTTACAAACATATTCTCCCATATCATCTCTTTATGTTTTTAATGTGACTATTAGAAGATTTTAAATTACATATGGCTCACATTATATATCTACTGGACAGCACTGATTTGAACCAATAATGACAGTATTATTCTGTATTAGTCAAGGTTCTCCAGAGAAAGAGAACCAATAGAATTATTAGTTTGTTTGTTTGTTTGTTTATTATAAGGAATTGGCTCATGTGATTATGGAGGAAGGAGAGCCCCAAGATTTTCAGGGTGAATCAGCAAGCTGGACACCCAGGCAAGCCAATGGTTTTGTTCCAGTCCAAATCCAAACACCTGATAAGCAGGAGAGCCAGCAGTTTTGCTCCCATCCAAAGGCTGGCAGACTTGAGACCCAAGAAGAGTTGATGTTTCAGGTCAAGTCTGAAGACAGGAAAAAGCTGATGTCCCAGTTCAAAAACAGTGAGCCAGCAAGAATTCTCTCTTACTTGGGGCACAGTCAGCCTTTTTGTTCTATTCAGATCTTCAACTGATTTAATAAAGCCCACCACATTAGGAAGGGCAATCTGCTTCACTCAGTCAGCCAATTTAAATCTTAATCATATTCAAAAACACTCTCAAAGAAATACCCAGAATAATGTTTGACCAAATAACTGGGCACCCTATGGCCAAGTCAAACTGACATATAAAATTAACTGTCATATGTTCCCTGTTTTTCCAGCCTGCCTTGAAGCTAGAACAATTGACCCAGTTATGGGAAATGAGATGTGAAGGGAAATCTGTTCAGGGACTTCTAAGAGAACTGTTGCTCCCATAGAAGGAGACGTGGCTAGCACCACCCTTCCTGGCTCCATCCAACGTCACATGTGGACATGACACCTCCATCTGGAGTAGCCATATTGTGACCAAGAGGTAACAAAGGAGGGGATGCACATCAACAAACTAAGGATAATGGAGCAGAAGCATAGAAAGAGCCTGGGTGCCTGATGGTATCGTCAAGTAACTAAAACAGTACCAGCAATTACTTGCTTTGGGCTTTCTTCTTAGGTGGCTAAAAGCAGACACTATTTTTTCAGTCCACTGCTTGTCATCTTTGTTATTGCTCCTTGCAGCCAAACATATTTCTAACCAGTTAGAAGAATAGAAGGTACTGTTTTAGGAGTTACAACGGTGAATTATGCCCTTGGGGATGGGGGGACACATTTTAGAGGGGAAGAGGTGGCAAAGTTAACATATAAACAAGATGATTTAAGACTGTGGTAGTTACGATGAAGGAAATAAACAGAGGGAAACTAGGTTTAGTCATGGAAAACTTCTTTTACGATTTATGATAAGCCGAGGTATAAAAAACTGGCAACACACACAAAAAATGAAAATAAAAAGTTAAGGAAAGGCTGTTCTAGGCAGAGTGAAAACACCCTGATAAAGAGAAGAGCTTGGCTGGTCAAGGAACCAAAAGAAGGCATGGGAGCAGAGTGAGCCGGGGGGAGAGACCTATGGGTGGGGCTGGAGGGACAGCAGGCTCCAGGTCATGCAGAGCTTGAGGAATCATAGAACATAATTCAGACTTTTAGGTGCAATGGAAATGAAGGCTTTTTAGTGTCTTAGCTAAATGATGTTCAGTAAGAGAGTCTTGGTTGCAATATGCAACATGGATGCTGGAAGACCAGTAGGAAGAGGTTGCTGTATAAACAAGAAAGAAAATAATCAAATACAAAGCATCACAATTAAAATGGGACTTAAAATAGAAATTCATAGGCAACAAGATCCATGTGGCTTGAGACATCCAAGCTCTCTCAAATCTGTAATTACACTAAATCCACCAATAACCTCCGGTTACAGGAGCTGGTCTGATTCTCTCCACTTGACAGAAGAGGAATCTGTGCTCCGAGGAGTTGATACCTGGCTCAAGGCCACAAAAATCACTCAAAATCAACCAGCCATTGCACCCCAGCTCCCATGCCTGGCCCTCATGAAACCCAAGGTTTTCTGAGCCATATTACCATGCATCCCCACCTCCCTCATTAAATCCACCAAATCCTTTGCTTGGAAAACCCTGAGTTTTGCCAGCTTTGAAAAATCACCCCGACCCCTCTCCCAGCTCTCAGAAGTTTCAGTGTTACACTTTTGTGAAAGCCAGGAGGCTGGGGAAAATAACAATTTGGGAAATCACCTAAGTTCTCCCCAGATCCACGAGGGGGCAAAAAAGAGTCAAGGACTTGCTGCCATCTTTCTCTGGGACCCAGAGGAAGTGGAGGAAGGGGAATACAGGGCAGAGATGAGGTCCGACTACCGGCTTGGGCGGTTAGGCAGGGGCGAGGGAAGCGGAGGCCCGGGGTCATGTCAACTGCCTCCTCTGCCTTCATAACTACGGTGGGAAGGGCCTCTGTAGTCCCACTGCCTCCGCGGGTGGTTTCAGCACTAGTGCACCCTCTCCGCGAAGACTCACCTGGAGGCCAGGGGGCGGGGCCTTACATGTCGGCCAGCCATTGGCCGCAGGCTGCCGGGGGCAGGGCACGGAGCCGAGCAGCCCTGAGCGCAATCCCGGCTCAGGGTAATGCTCCAGGGAGGGTAGAAGGCTCTGGTGAGCCGGCCGCAGGTCGCATGCATAGCCGCTGAGGGTGTCCACCGGCTTGTAAAGAGACCTGCCCACTGCAGTCCCGTGTCCACTTTACTCCTGTCCCCTTCCAGCCTCTCTGCTGCTCTTTCCAGGGAAAAACAGCGGAGCCTCTCTTCATGCGGACCCAGACAGTAAAAGGTTTTAATGTTGACCGACACAAAGCCTGTGGAAGTCTCATGGGTCCTGAGGCCCGGCCTCCTGCAGCGGGATCCTCTAGCTGCCACCGCCTCTCCAGGCCCAGGGCATCTCTCTTACGCAACTTTGGTCTCGTCTCCTATTTCCTGCCTGACTACGCGAGGATTAAGTCATGCTCTCATGCTCTTAGCTCTTGACCTATTTCTTTTCTGCAGAGCACCAGGCTAACTTTTCCCTCTTTATGGCTTTGCAAAACACTAAGGTCCCATCCTCACCACCTGATCACTTAAACCAAAAAGGGGTTGTGACTTTTAACTAAAAGAATGCTAATTGCAGAAGGAATACCACATACCAGGTAATTCCACCCAACCCCTGGTAGTTCTGCAAGCATGTTGAGCACAATAAAGGTTGAAAACAACTGAATGTTCAACATCTGACTCTCCCACCTGTGACTGAAGAAATCCCCCCTGAGTCAGCACAGAAATTCAGTGGGATTTTTTTCACTCCCATTTCCAAAATACATTAGGAACACAGACAACTCAATAGATAAAACAAAAAAGAAAAAAATAACCCTATTAAAAAATGGGCAAAGGACCTGAAGAGACATTTTTCCAAATAAGTCACACAAATGAAAAGATGCTCAACATCACTAATCATTAGGAAAATGCAAATCAAAACCACAGTGAGATATCACATCATACCTATTAGGATGGCTATTAACAAAAACATGAGAAATAACAAGTACTGATGAGGATGATGAGAAAGGAACTCTTGTGCACCATTGGTGGGATTATAAATTGGTACAGTCACTATGGAAAACAGTATAATTTTTTCCTCAAAAAATTAAAAATAGAACTACCATATGATTCAGCAATCTCACTTCTGGGTACATATCCAAAGCAAGTGAAATCACTATCTCAGAGAGATATCTGTGTTCATTTCAGCACTACTTATAACAGCCGAGATATGGAAACAACCTAAGTATCCATCAACAGATGAATTGAGAAAGAAAATGTGGTGTTTATATGCAATGGAACATTATTCAGCCATAAAAAATTAAGGAAAGCCTGCCATTTGCAACAATGTGGATGAAGCTAGAGGACTTTATGCTAAGTGAAAGAAGTCAGACACAAAAGACAAATACTGTCCCATCTCACTTACATGTACAAGTCTAAAAAAGTCAAACTCATAGAATCTGAGAGTAGAATGGTGTTTGCCAGGGGCTGGAGGGGAAGGTAGGGGATTGGGTTGTTGTTGGTCAAAACATACAAACTTTTCATTATTAAATGAGTATGTTCTGGGGATATAATGTACAGCATGGTGATTATAGTTAGTAACACTGTATTGTATACATGAAATTTGCTAAGAGAGTAGATCCTAAGTGTTCTCACCACACACACACAAAAACAGTAACTATGAGTTGATCGATGTGTCAATTAACTTGATAGTGGTAATCATTTCATAATGTGTATGTTTATTAAAACCTCACATTGTACACCTTTTTAAAAAGTACAACCTAAATATACATAGTTTATATTTGTCAATCACACCTCAACAAAGCTGGAAAAAATACAATATTATTTACAATTGCTCAAAATAAATGATATTTACCTATAAATTTAAGAAACATGTATAGGACACATGCTAAAAACTACAAAACATCAGTTAAAGAAGAAATTATAGAAAATCTAAATAAATGGAGAGAGATAATGTGTTCATGGGTTAGAAAACTCACTACAGTAAGGAAGTCAACTCCCCCCAAATTGATATATGGGTTTAATACAATTCCTATCAAAAATCCCAACAAGATTTTTTTAACATGGGCAAGATTAGTCTCAACTTTATATAGAAAGGAACTAATAATTTTGAGAAAGTATAATAAAGTAGGAAGAATCAATTCTACTCAATTTAATGCCTACTCTATAGCTACAATAATAAAGATAATGTGTTATTGGTGAAGGGATATACACACAGAATGGAACAAAATGAGAAACCAGAAACACCCACACACAAGCAGAGCCAGCTGTCTTTGACAAAGATACAAAAGGCATTCAATGGAGAAAGGGTAGCCTTTTCAACAAATGGTGCCAGAGCATTTGGATATCTGTGGACAAAAATAAAAACCTAAGGGGTGGAGCCAGGATGGCAGCATGAGTAGAGCAGCATAAATCTCCTCCCAAAACCACATATATCTATGAAAATGTAACAAACACAACTCTTCCTAAAATGTAGACCAGAGGACACAGGACAACATCCAGACCACATCCACACCTGCGAGAACCCAGTGCCTTGCAAAAGGGGTAAGATACAAGCCCCGGCCCAGCGGGACCTGAGCGCCCCTCCCCCCAGCTCCTGGCGGGAGGAGAGAGGTCTGAGCGGGAGGGAGAAGGAGCCCAGGACTGCTGAACACCCAGCACCAGCCATCCGGACCAGAGCGCAGACACAGTGCATGCACGGGGCCCTGGATACTAGGGAAACAGGGCAGCAAGAATGGTGAGC